GCTGGAATAGTGACTGAATCTTCTCCCACAATCAGGACATTCAAAGGGTTTCTCTCCTGTATGAATCCTCTGGTGATTAATAAGGTGACAATTCTGACTGAAACGTTTCCCACAATCAGGACATTCAAACGGTTTCTCTCCTGTGTGAGTTCTCTGGTGTCTCACAAGGTTGGAATTGTTACTGAAACTCTTCCCACAATCAGAACATTCAAAGGCTTTCTCCCCTGTGTGAGTTCTCTGGTGACTAACCAGGCTGGAATTCTGACTGAAACTTTTCCCACAGTCAGGACACTTAAAGGGTTTCTCTCCTGTGTGAATCCTCTGGTGTTGAATCAAGATGGAATTCTGACTGAAACTTTTCCCACAGTCAGGACACTCAAAGGGTTTCTCTCCTGTGTGTGTTCTCTGGTGTTGAACCAAGCTGGAATTTTTAGCGAAACTTTTCCAACAGTCAGAACATTCAAACGGTTTATCTCCTGTGTGAGTCCTCTGGTGTCTCACCAGGCTGGAATTTTGACTGAAACTTCTCCCACAGTCTGGACATTCAAAGGATTTCTCTCCTGTGTGAATCATCTGGTGGCTAATATGGTTGGAATTGGTACTGAAACTTTTCCCACAAACAGGACATTCATATGGTTTCTCTCCTGTGTGAATTCTCTGGTGTATCACGAGCTGTTCTGATCAGAGATTTTACCATATTTAGAGTATATGTAAGGTTCTTCTCCAGTTTGGATGCTCTCAGGCATAACCTGATGTGATTTGCAAGTTGAATATTTCCCAGAACAGGCATAGCTATGCTCTACATGGCTTTTCCTTCCAGTACCTTCCAAATATATTGCCTCTTTTGCTGAATGGAAAAATAATCTCCCTTGACTTTTCATGTAATATATGATTGAATTTTACACAATATTTTTCCCAGCTAAAAATCTCTTCTTGATTTTCTCTCGTTTCTCTATCACCTACTGTGGAAGGTGAAGAATTGTGTAGCTCTTCGAAGGAAATGGAAAATATTTTGATTTCTGGACTGACTTGCTTTGCTATTCAATGTTGCTCATTATTCGCAGTTGTCCAGAGCGCTCTTATTGCCATCCTCTTTGTCTATAAGATTCAAATAAAAGGGTATCTTTAAGTGTACATAAAATGGTTGCAGAAGATGAGAAAAAAAGAAAATGTTTACATTACAATGACAAAGCAAACATGCCTCAATGCTCCAATAAGCTCTTACATTAATCATGATTCATTTGACACATGGAAGGCTACCCAGATCCAGGTTCGAATATCCATTCAATGAAGAAATTCATTTGTTGACTGGGTCAATCACAAATTCTTAGAAGAGCAAAGGGTTGTTTTCAAATACAGGGAAGTGAAAAAGAAAGAACTCCCTCTTTGATATCTTTGGTTTTACTTATCAGGACGTAAAAATATCATCACAATAAAAAAGAGTCATAGAATTTGAAAGGATCTTGGACATCTTCTAAACCAAACCCTGCTCAACCAGGAGACCCAGAGGTGGGCTGCTACCGATTCACACCTGTTTGCCGTGAGATGTGGGCATGTTTCCTCTGTGTGTACGTTTGGACAAAGAAAGGGGCAGTTGTTGGGGAAGAAGCATGGAGAGTGAGTACCTCTGAAGGAAGGGAACTTGGATGGAGGTAAGTAAGTGAGCCGAGCTGATGAGTTTGTGGTGGAAGCAAGTGGGGCGGTGGGGGGGAGGTTTAGAAAGGCACACGTCATGGCACTGGCACCTTCTGTGAGGAGACAATGTGTGGGGGAGCCCCTCCAGCACCGTGAGATGTGTGTGTGTTTGCTCTGTTTGTACATTTGGACGAAGAAAGAGGTGGTTGTTCAGGAGTGAATCCATGGTGGAAGCAAGCGAGGCACGGGGGAGGCTGAGAATGGCAGGAGCTGGACGCACGGACTGAACACCACGGCTTGTTTTGCAGGATCTGGAGCTTAGCGGGATCTTCTGGTTTAGAAAGCAGGTTGCGCCCCTTTCCCTGAAGCAAACTTTTCATTTGAAGCATGGATGGCCAAGGCTGCCTCATTGCTCCAGTTGGCCTTTGTATTCTCTGCTGCCTCCGCCACCTTTTGCTAGTCCAAGTTAAGAAACTTGAGTTTACTTCACGGACCTCGCTCTGTTACCTTTCTGTCATTCCCCCCACCCTCTGTCATTCCCCCCACCCGTTAAATTTCTCATCCTCCCTAAGGCTCTTGGCCCAATTTAGTGAGATGAAGAAGACGTGCCAGGTGCGGAGGGGAGAGCTGAGGATTTTTTGGCTCAGGATTGTATCTTGGCCATTACATTGGAGTTTCATTAAAAGTCCTTTATAAAAAGTGCAGCCGTGGAGCAGTGGGGAGGGAGAGGAAGAAGGGGGTGGATGCTAGCAGAGAGGAGAGTGCTTCTGGGATGAGGGACGCTGGTAAGAGAAAAAAGGCAGCTTGCAAAAGAAGAGCCAGCACAGCAAAGCAAGTGAGGGAGCGAAAATTTGGCCTGCCGGTGGGCCTCTTTATTCCGCCTCGCTCCCAAGGCAGCCAGGTAGCACCCGCCTCCTCGTGTGAGAAGCTACCAAAGGACCTTCTCGCCAGGAGCGCTGCCGTTGTTCAGATTCCCCACCTCCTTCTGGCAGCCCTCGGCCGAGCACGGCTGCCCCACAAACCAACACCAGCTTCGGCAACACCACCACTACCTGCACCCAAAATCTGTCATCTTGAAATGTTTCTTGAAAGTGACCCCAAAGGAGTGAGCAAAGTAGGCTTCTTATCCTACATTCTCATTAGGGGTAGTCCTTGATTTATGTCCACAACTGAGCCAAAATTTCCATTGCTAAGCAAGATTTAAGTGAGTTTTGCTCCGTTTTGTGATTTTCCTTGCCACTGTTAAGTGATGTTCAGTAGTACTAAATAAATATTGTATCTTGTTAAGGCTGGAGGCGGGGCCAGTTGTGGTGAGTGACGTCGAGTTGGCCACGCCCAGGCACTCACATGATCACCCAGCAGCCCACCACTGAGGAGACCCTACAACATTTCAGATAAGCGGTTGTCTCGCCTCTTCTGAAAAGCCCCAAGTGATGGAGCACCACAACTACTGCTTAATTGTCTCACCAGTAGGAAATTTCTCAGTGCTTCCATAGCTTAATGAGGTGAAGTACCAGTCAACTACTGCTAATAAAGTGCCCTTGATGAATTGTTAAGAAACAAAGAGTTATATCTCAGACTCTACAGGCTTCAGTTACCATGCTAAATGTTAAGATTCATGAAATTGCAATTAGAAAAAGACTGAACAAGTATGCTTCGTTTGGAAGGGCTACACAAGGCAAAGTCTCTTCTCTCTAAAAAGGTCATAGCAGCATGGCTGAGGTTTGCACAGTTGCACCTGAACAAATCACATGATTCTGGAACACTGTCCTTGTCACAGACAACACCAAAGTGGAGATATTTGCCCATAATGCACAGTGATACGTTTGACGAAAACCAAACACAGCATATCAGCACAAGGCATCTCATACAAACTGCCAACATAGAGGTCGAGAGGTGATGATTTGGGCTTGTTTTGCAGGCGCAAGACCTGCACACCTTGCAATCATTGAGTTGACCATGAACTGTATACCAAAGTATTCTAGTCAAAAGAGAGGCCATCTGTCCAATCGCTAAAGCTAGGCTGACATGGGATTATGCAACAGGACAATGGTTGCAAACACATCAGGAAATCTACAACAGAATGGCTAAAAAAAGAAAAGGATCAAGGTGTTGCAATGGCAGTCAAAGTCCAGACCTCAACCCGATTGGCGGGACCACAAGAGAGTTGTGCATAAAAAACCTCAATGGACTGAAGCAACATTGTAAAAAAGATGGGCCAAAATTCCTCCACAACGCTGCAAGAGACTGAGAAAGTCACACAGAAAAGAATTACTTCTCGTTGTTGCTGGTTCTACAAATTATTGAATCATACATTTTCCACACACGACTTCTTTGTTTTGGCTTTCATTTTATAAAATAAACGATGACCTGATGTGATATATCATATATTGTTGTTCATCAATAGAGAGAGAGAGAGATTTCAGAGAGAAATAACACACACACAATATGGAGAAAATCCATGTCTTTCCAGCCTGAAAAAAACCTCAGAGTGGTTACAGTCAAACCTTCTGCGCTAAAGTTAATCAGGAATCTGATCAATTTGATGATTGCTCATCTGTTGAGATGGCAAGGCTGAAGTTCAGGCGTCAACAGGCTTCTGAGGCCATGGAAACTTTCACAGGAAACCACTAGCCCAGGTGTCTGCAAGCTTAAACACTAAAAGAGCCATATGGAACCGTTTCCCACTGGGGAAAAAAAACAAAAAGCTCGATATCACTCACTCCACCCAGTCACATGACCCCCTACCCAGCCACAAAACACTTCTCTATGTCTCTCTCTCTCCCCCTTTTTGTATATCTCTGCCTCTCTCCCTCCCTCTCTCTATCTTCCCCTCTCTCTGTGTATCTCTCTCTGTGTGTCTCTCAATGGCTCTCTCTCTCCCCCCCCCCAGTCTCTGTCTCTCTCTTGGAAAGTCGTTGCTGGGCCAAGCCAGCTAGCTCTCCTTGGGGCTCTTCGCCAACTCCTTTTATTTCTTCTGTTTGGAAATTCGGGCTGGCTGAGGAACCAGCCATGGTGGAGGCTACCCTTCAGGCGACCTTCCTCCACCCCCTCCTTCTCCTCTCATGACCCCCTGGCCGGCTGTGGAGGGACCAGGAGATGTTCCTCAAGCAAGCGCCAGAGCGCAGCAAAGGCATGCATGGGGCAGGCGGCTGCTCATTTGAGGGTCTCCCCACCCCACCACAGCTGGCCAAGGGGTTGTAAGAGGAGAAGGGGTGGTGCCCAAAGGGAATCCTCTGCCCCGGGTGGCACTCGTTTATAAACCAGTCCGGATTTCTAAAAAGAAGAAATAAAAGGAGTAGCCAAGACTCCCAAGGGTTCTTTCTGAGAAAGAAAGAAAGAGAGAAAGAGAGAAAGAGAGAGAGAGAGCCTTCCCCTTGTGTCATTGATTTTAATCTTTGGTATTAATTTTGTGGGAAGCCCCAGAAGAATGAAATATTTTGGGGAATGTTAAAAGAGGCAGATTATTATATTTCCCCAAGGAAAAGTGGAAGGAAAAAAACCTTAACAAAGGCAGGAAACGGCCCCAACTGCCCCCAGCAGATGCCTGAACTTCTTAGAGGTGGAGATTTTGTGCCCGTTGAGAAAGACTACTCACAAATACCTTTAGCTCCAGTTGGTGGGATTAAGAAGGACAGGACGTTTAGGGTATAATAGGGTTAACCCAGGACCTTTAGAAGAGCAAAAGGCTACATTGCTCAACCCCCGGGGAGGATTTCAAACCCAAAACCCCAAGCAATGTATTGGGCTAAGCTATCCCAACCCCATTTATTCAGAAAAGACCCAGAAGCAGCTCAATCCGATCTTGTTGCCCGAAAAACATCAGGTCCACTACAGAATAATTGAGTTTTGGGGGACCTTGGAGATCTTCTGGTCCATCCCCTTTTCAGACAGGAGACCCTATTCCATTCCGAACAAACGGCTGTCCAATCTCCTCTGAAGACCCTCCAGTGACGGAGCCCCCACAACCTCTGGAGGGGAGCCATTCCCAAAGGATCCACCTTCACTTGAAACAGGCTTTTTAAATCTTCCCGCCAGCAGAGAATTGCAGCCACCAGTTTCACAGCGTGCAGCCCCAGCGGGCTCCGATCTGGGGAGGGAAGGAACCTGCAGCTGACACGCTTCAGCCCAGTTGCTTCTCTGCTTCCAGGCCGTGGAGGGAACCGAACAGCCCGACTTGCTCCCGGACTCCCCTCCCACCTGCTGCCCCCAACTCACCCGCCAGCTGCTGCTTCCATCCTGGGAAGATCAGAAAAGCCGCTCTGCATTCCACCTTCCTCG